AAATTATGTTTTTTGATCGAAGAGAGAATGCCAATTTCAAGAAGAGGAAAAATACACACACAAAGCACATGTCCAGAAGATTACTTTTATATGCATGATATATTCTATGTATAAAGATATAAATATGTACATTATATATATATATGTATATGAATTGGTTTTGAAAAGGTGAAAATTTTGTCAGGTGATTTGGGAGAGCAATAGATGGCTTAAGTGGGCTATCCAGCCATGATTTCCAATGCATATCCAGCGAAAAGCAAAGCAAGTCTCAACATGGCTATCCAGCCATCGAGGCAAAAACTTCTGGGTACCCCCAAACCTCAATCTTGAAACGAGCATGGCTATCCAGCCATCAATAGTGCACCTGCATGCTTTTTTTCCTTCGCTTGCCTCTCAGTCATCTCCTTCCTCGTCTAAAACCATCAAGCCACTGAGAATTAAGTGCATGCTGAGCCTGTACTTCTGCATGATGCTTTCAGCCGCCTTCGGCGGAGACTGGCCTCGGACGCATGCTTTTGCGATCCGTACCATGTGGCCCATGTAACTTTCACTGCCATAAGTCCAAAAGCAGCGGGGGTGACAGCTCTCAGTGAACCAGCTCAGATGGCTGGTCAGGTGGTGCTTTTGCACCATTGAGTATCTCAGGCACCCTCGCTGAGATGAAAGTTTAGCCATGTAGCTATACTGCAGCAGGAAGCTGTGGACCTTCTGGGCGAACTTGTCCTGCAAAGCAGCGGGAAATTTGTAGAGCTTCATGTCCATCAGCTGCAGCATGTCGTCCAAGGCTGTAATCATCTTCAGTCTGTGCTCTCCATACTTCGTTGTTTCAAACTGTTCACACAACCTGCAGACAGATGAGATGTAGATGCTTGTGTCCTGGCTATCCAGCCATCAAAGATGAAAAACATGGCTATCCAGCCATCAAAGATGAAAAACATGGCTATCCAGCCAGCAAGAATGCCCTCCAAAAATTATTTGCCAAGAAGCTTTTTCACTGCTGGCACCAGATACCTCACTTTCCTGGCTTTGCAATGCTTGAGCACTGGAAATTCAGTGGTGCTGTCTCCGATGTCTGTCAGCTTTAGCACACCCACTCGTTTTGAAGAAGGTGTGCCCAAGAAGTTGTAGGCCTCAACAATCAGTCTGTTGACTGCTGCACATCTGGCTGGCCGATTCGAAGCTACCATCTCATCTTCGATGAGGTCCCATAGGACCGACCCCACCACATGCATTGAGACCCCAAGGTCTATAGTGTGCATTGGGTCTAAGAAGATGCACTGACTGTTGAGGCCAGGAACTGCAAACAAGGGGTGCTTGTACTGCGCATTCATCTCCTCTGCCGACCTGATAGTTTCCCGCCATTTAGCGCTACTTCTAAAGTCAAAGGCAGGAATTTCGTCGTGCATGTCACATTTGCACCATGGACAGGGGTGGTTCTCCATTGCATAGGGGAAGTGGAACTCGCTGCTGTACCACTCCAAGTCACCGGTGATGCAGTACACCTGAGTTAGCTTATAATTTGTGAATGCAACGGCAATGCAGTTCTTGATTCAGGACATGTGGCTGTCCAGCCATCGAAACCATTCGCATGTGCTCAATGGCTATCCAGCCATCAATGAATTTGCCATGGCTCTGACATGCGTTGAAGTCACCATGGCTCTCTTCTCCCAGCCCATGAGAGGTTTGCCGCCATTGCTGACTTTGTAAGTGGGCAAGTTCCCAGGCGCTTTGGTAGGCCACCTTCCCTTAGTCATAGCTTCAAGGCTCCAGCAAAGAATTTTCCAAATAGGCTGCAGCGTTTCCTTGCTTATCATGCTTTTGGGCAAGGCGAAGAGGAGCAGCTGGCTCTCTGAGACAGAGAGCTTGGTGGTGAGGCTTCTCAGGCTGACCACCAGCAAAGAATCTGTCTCAGTGTGCGGGGCAGCATCGCCATGTAGAGCAAAAACCAAAGGCGCGTCCTTCTTGATGTCGGGAAAGCTCTTCCTGAGCCGCAGGAATGGCATCTGTGCATGTTGTATACTTCTACCCCTAGGAGCTGGCTACCCAACCTTCAATCTTCATGACAGCTAGCCAAGACTCACCCAGCTTTTTGCAGAGGATAGCCTTGGGCAGTTCAGGTCCTGCTCTGTCCAAAATTTCTCCAAGTCTTGCAAGCCAAAGACAGCTTCCAAGTCCTGATGCTCACAGAAACACTTTGGAACAAATCTCAAAATACAGCCAGATCTATCTTTTGAGTCATTGCTGCTCGGTATCCATCCTTTGTGGCTATTAATCTAGTACACTGTAACACTGTCGTGTTTGCAGCAACATGGCTATCCAGCCATCAGCATCTTTTGTTCTAGCAGCATGTGGCCATAACCAGCCATCAAATATCCTTTTCTTTTTGTGGCCATGTCTCTGCAGTGGACGCCATGCTCATCCATTCATGGGGGAGAAGCAAGGGCAGCTTGCTCTGTAAGAGAGTTTTTTGTCCGTCACCATCTTTTCCCCAAATTTTGGTCTCCACGGTGTGAACAGGTGGCGCTTTCAAGTCTTTGAAATGCAAGGCCATAAGATCTCTTTGTATATTCTGCGGACTGTTGCCTGCTGCGCCCAGCATCGCAAGCCTCTGAACATCTTGCCCCTGGCATCCACTATCTGCAGCTGCCTTTGCAATCTCTTGCAAGGCTGGGCCCGACAACTCTCCTGTGCTCCACATCTTCAAAAGTAGCACGGCCAAGGGGCTTTCTACATGGCTTCTTGCTCTAGCAGAAGGTTTTTCTGCATGCCCCAACCTTCTCTGTTTGTGGCCCACCATCGCTTTTGGTGGCTATCCAGCCATCCAATGCTAGCAGCCACATACATCTGCAGTTTTTGCAATCGCATCCAGACAATACCTCCAGGTTGTGGCTATCCAGCCATCATGCACAGTTCCACCCCAATTGTGGCTATCCAGCCATCATTTGAAGCTCGATTCCTTTAAGGTTGTGGCTATCCAGCCATCGTGCTGTTGTTCCCTTTGTGGCTATCCAACCATCAACCACATATGGCAGTGGCCCTGCCTTTCTGGAGCCCTGCAGTCTCATTCAGCCAGTCACTCCGCTTTCAGAGCTTTGAAGAGCTTAGCCTTGGCAGCTTTCAGGTCAGTCAAGGCTTTGTAAGCTACCTGGAGAAGCTTGGCAGCTTCGCTGCGGACGCATTTGCCTTTGGCCATCTTGTCCAACTTCTCACACGTCCTCTGGCCGTGCTCGGCTGCTTTCAGCGAATCTTTCACCATTGTCTTCTCTGCAGGGTTCTGGCTCTTCAGCTCGTGTGCTTTCAGCTCCACAGTGGCCGCGTCCTTGCTGAGTTCTGCTTTGAACTTGAGCACTTTCGACTTGATGCTCACAGCACCGTCTTCGTCTCCGACTTTGCTAGCCGCTTCCCAAGCATTTTCTTTCGGGGCTTTCCTCTCTTTCTCATGCTTTGCATCCTTGATGTTCAACATTTTTTTGAGTTCAGGATCCAATCCATCTTCATCTTCCTCATCGCTCTCTCCTCCATGTCCCATCTCCATGTCGCTGGAGTGCACCTCGTCTACAGCCACAGCTTCAATCGCCGCCATCTTCTTGTGGTCAACCTAGCCAAAGCAGAAAAGCAAGGCACAGTAGGTATTGGGCAGTGGCTGTCACAAAGGCATTGGCTATCCAGCCATCCAATCGTCAATTTCGGGTTTACCTAATTCCTTGAGCGAGTCCGCGCACGTCAGTTTAGGGTCAATTAATGATTAGATATACCTTGCACCTCACGGACAGCTTCAGGCCTTCTGCCATGCAGATCCATACTGAGTTTCTCGGTTCTTCTCTGCCATATTGGACTTCTTCTCAACAATGGCTTGGAACTCCCAGTAGTCCCTGTCCAAGGGATTGCGGCGAGCTTTGATGGTGCCTTTCTGCAGTCGATCCTTCAGTTCCTCTGCCCCCCATTTCTGGAGGGCCTCAGCTTTGGTAATCCACTTCTCTTCTACTCCTTGCTTTGCAACGACTCTGACTGTGGTTAGCATTTTTCTGTAGCAGTCTCCAATCTTTCCCTTGTCCATGCACCATCCTCTCAGAAGCGCTCTTTTCTTTTTCTGCTGGCCACAGCCGCTGGATGCTTCTTTGTACTGTCCATCACTCCCTGTCTCTTTTCTGCACGCCTCAAAGGCCTTCCACAACCTCTCAGCTGTGCGACTCGGTAAGGTGGCCAATGTCTTGTCAAATTGCGTCTGGCTCATGTCCTTGTGTTTTGACATTTCAGAGAGGAACTTGTTGTGGCTCTGCAGCGCCTCCTCGGTGAGAGGTAGCGGTTCCACAATCTCATCATCTTCTTCCTCCTCTTCTTTGTCCTTTCCATTTTTCTTGTGGGTCTTTGGCGGCTTTTCCTCTTTCTCATGAGCTGCAGGCCTCTTCATACCGGCTTTCTGTTGGGCAGCAGGCTTCTTCAAAGTCGACTGGGCTGCCATGGCTGATTATAGAAGGAGGCAGTGGCTGGAACGCCTTGGGCACCAAAATCCTTCAGAATATGCTGTACCATTGCTAGTCAATCTGACAAGGACAGCAGACCCCAACATGGCTATCCAGCCATCAAAGCAACAGAAGAGTGGCTATCCAGCCATCAAGGACAGAAACGAAGTGGCTATCCAGCCATCATCGAGCAGAAGTGGCTATCCAGCCATCAAATTTTCCCTGAAACAAACAGGTTTTCGTTGAAGATCACAGGTTTCCATTGGAAATCAAGGGAATTCATAGAAATTCATGAAAATGCATGGAAATTCATGTGAATTCATGGGTCTTCATGGGTCTTCATGGGTCTTCATGGGTCTTCATAGGTCTTCATGGGTCTTCATGGGTCTTCATGGGTCTTCATGGGTCTTCATGGGTTTTCATGCGTCTTCATGTGAATTTTGCTTCTTTTTTGTCTTTTTTCCCTGGCGCATTTTTGTCTAGCTCTCCGGCTACCATTTTCATATCGCTCCCGGTCTCTGTCCAGGCTATCCAGCCTTACTTTACATCCTCAGACTGCTGCTTTGCCATCTGTGCCCTGGCAGCTTCGGCCAAGGACGCATCATACGCACGTTGCAAAGCATGGCAAGGGCAAGGGCATTCCCATTTGTTCTCGCATTCCCCCTTGCAGCCGGTGAAGCAGTGCACCTTCTCAGTCATGTCCACGGCCATCTGGGTATAGCCGCAATACACTTTTTTGTCATCTGGCTTTTGGACAAAGGCGAGGTCACCAACCCACTTCACTCTCGGTCCTCCAAGTTTTTGCTGCTTCGGAGCAGGCTCCACATCTACCCATGAGCCGTCTGCACTGCAGGCTGCAGCTTTTCGCGACTTTTCCGGCATGGCTTCTTTGCAGTCTTTGCAGCCTTGGACCTCTAGAGCTGCAGAAGCCGTCCAACCTTTTATCAAAGTGCAGACAATTGTCCATAGAGGTGCAAACAAGGCTATCCAGCCTTCTAAGTACAGACAAGGCTATAGGGGGCAGACAATATTGGCAGCCTTGTTTAGGTGCAAGCAAGGCTACCCAGCCTTCAAAAGAGGGGCAGACAATAGGCTATCCAGCCTTCAATAAACCCGCCTGGCCATTGGCTGGGCTATCCAGCCCTCTATGAACCCGGCTGATTCAAGTAGGACACCTTTTTTTGTAGCTCTTGTGTTTGAGCGGTTTGTTGGCTCCATACCGAGCCCTGTACCCTGGCAGCATCTGTCGACACTTGCCAGCTGCAGCAAAAGAGTGGCTATCCAGCCATCTATGGTACACCGCTGAGGGCTTATCCAGTCCTGCCATGTTCCCAGGGTTTGCCCTTGTCGAACTTCGCAAGTTGGCTAGCTCGTTTCAAGTTCTTGCAAAACCTGGGACCACGGCAGCCCCAGCAGGACGCATCCAGGCAGCCTGCCACACCATGCTGCCTCAGTGCGGACTGTGCAGCCACATAGGTCTTCTGGCCACAGTCACGGCACTTGCCGAGCCACTCAGGTTCTAGGTCCAGGGTCCTTAGAGTATGTCATTCGATCTGCGCAAGCAATGGCTAGATCCAGCAGTTAACTGACAATGTCATGGCTATCCAGCCACCAATACTAGAGTTTAAAATGGCTATCCAGCCATCGATCAGGCAGGAAGTTGCGAACATCTGAACTTTCAGGCTTGGCTATCCAGCCATCAAAAACGAGATGAAAAAGGGCAGCTGCAGCTCAAACACTCCAGGTTCTCCCCATCCCAGTCGCTGCGATCTGCGGCCACCTCAGCGGCTTCGCTCGCGGCGCTGGTTGCATTTGCGCTATCCCAGGCCTTAGATGACTCTCACTGTCTTTCGCATGGCCGCGCAGCTACCAAAAGACGACTCATGTGGCTATCCAGCCATCATGCACAGAAAAGAAGTGGCTATCCATCCATCAAAAGACACAAACAAGGTGGCTGGCTATCCAGCCATCTATCCCGTCACACTGCTATAACAAGTGAAGATCCAGCAATCAGTACACCATTCAAAATCAAGGCTCCCATGCCGCAGGCTGGTGCCACCACGGGTTGTTCCAGGAGGTTTCTGCCCATCCACCCCATCCACCAGCGCCTTTTCCCTTCTCCGTCGCCGTCCCTCCCCCGCTCTTTCCCTCGCCCGCTGGTCCTTTCCCTCCTCCGTCCTCTTCTTCTGCTCCTTTCTTTCCTTTCTCTCCTTTCTTTCCTTTCTCTGCTCCTTTCTCTACACCTTTCGCGTCACCTTTCTCTCCTGGCTTTCCTCCTCCTTTCTCTCCGGTGACTTCTCCTGCCTCCGTACCTTCTCCTGTCTCTCCGGCCGTTCCTTCTCCTTTCTCTCCGGCCTTTCCTGCTCCTTTCTCTCCTTTCTCTCCTTTCTCTCCTTTCTCTCCTTTCTCTCCTTTCTCTCCTTTCTCTCCTTTCTCACCGGTCTTTCCTTCTCCTTTGTCTCCTTTCTCTGTGCCCTTTCCTTCCTTCCCTTCTCCTTTCCCTTCTCCCTTCTCTCCACCTATTCCTTCTCCTTTCTGTCCACCTTTTCCTTCTCCTTTCTCGCCACCAGTGGGGCGGCTCGACCGGCGCCAAGGGGGCTGCTTGGGCTCATGCACCCATGACTCAGGTGTCGAGCTAGCAGCTGGAGAGTGCAGCCCGGCTCCTGCTGCGGTGGAGACTTCGCGGTTGTCGATGCAGGCGTCGACGAAGTCCTGAGCGAAGCCATACTGGCTATCCAGCCATCAGCAGATAGAACTGGTACGACAAGATGGCTATCCAGCCCTCCAACTCGAAAGATTTTTTCCTGCCATGTGGCTATCCAGCCATCCAACACAAAAAAGACAAAACTATATAGAGTTCATCATGGCTATCCAGCCATCTGCAAAACAACAAAGTAGCTGCAATCTCCAAGTGGCCCAGTAGTCCTCTGAACCACTTCGGGTGAATGCCCTCATCAAGGCACTTCTGTGTGACTCCATCGTCCCTGGTGGCGGCACCCCTGTCATCCTACAGCCGCTTCTTGCCACTGCCCGGAGCCACACCTGGTAGTCTTCTCCCGCCACCGCCGTTGCATCCCACAGAGTCCTCGTCGCTTGCCGCCAGTAGTTCGTTCCTGCTGCAATCAGAGGACACAGAAATATAACAGAAAATGGCTTTACTAGCCATTGCTGCAGAACTCCAGATCCAATTGCATCAACAGACTTGGCTATCCAGCCATCTATTGACCTGGCTATCCAGCCATCTATTTTTACAACGAAACCGGTTCAGCCAGCCTCCTCCCCCTGGGACCACACGCGTGGCGGCGGCATCTATACGACGCGCATCTTCTGCAGGCACGCTATCCATTCGGTGCGCCATGGCATTTCCTTCGGCAGCTCCTGCTTGAACCCGTCCGCTCGGTGCAATGCCAATTGTAAGTTGTCCCAAGATTGGCTATCCAGCCATCCACTCACGCTTGCGTTTTGGCTTCCCTCCAGCCACCCACGGCGTTTTGGAAATGAGTGCAGATGCACAGTGATCACCCTTTTTGGGCAATGGATCCCTACGCTTGGCTATCCAGCCATCAAAGCAAGAGAGAAACGAATTTGCAAAAGTTGGCTATCCAGCCATCACACATGCTTCAGTCACTGCAAACTTTTTCTGCGTGGGCCCATGCTTCGCTCTTACTGAGCCTTTGCCCATTCTTTGACTTTCCTAGGCGAATCTCCATCTTCCAACTTTTTCACAGCCTGCTTGCAAATGCCTTCCGCATTCTTGTCTTTTGAACACACCATTTGAAACAATTGCGAGCCCCCACACTGGCGAACAGCCCATGCATCACTCTTTCTGACCTTGCTTCTCTTGTAGTGCATCAGAACCCAGCTCTTCTTGCCTTCCATCTTTTTCTCAACCTTCTTAGCTGCTGGTTTCTTTTGCGGTGAAACAGCTGCAGGCCTCTTCAGGACTTTCTCCTTCAGCTTTGCCTTTCTGGAAGGCAGTGGGGTCGCCATTTCTGCTTCCTCATCCAAGTCAGGCTGTCCTTTCTCTTCTGGCGTGGCCGAGGCCACTGCCTTTCTCTTCTTCGGTGTTGCCATCAAAGGTGTTGCTGGCAAGCTTGGAAGCTCTATGGAACCAGCCACAGATTCCTCGAGATCAGCAGAAAAAACAACCCATCCAAAAAACAAGCTCCTATTTCCTGAAGGGCCCCGCGCATACAAATCCATTTGGCCAAGTTACTTGGTCCTCTCCTTCGCTTTCTTCTCCACTAAGCCACTTCTTCATCTCCAAGAGCTCTTTCTTTTCGTCGTCTGTGCACTTTGAGCAAGCCTCCCGGAACCTTGTTGAGTCTTTCAGGCGCCTGGTATGCGCACAGACACAAAGCAAGGCAGAAGCCATGGTTCCCTCATAGTCACACCTCTTGCTTTCCTCCATCTTGTACCTCAACTCCGGAAACTGTAGGCAGCACCTCCGCAAGGACCCCTTCAAGTCTGAAAACTTGAAGTGCAGGCCCGTCTCCAACTTCATCAAGACACCTACCAACTCTTTCAGCTTCGACAGCGCAGAGCCATTGATAGCATTCTGTGTCTGCAGGGCACTGTAGCGGCCCAACTCGAAGGAAGCAGCTATACCCTTCTTTTTCACATAACTTTGCAGCAGCTCATCCATGTGCCCCGTGTCGACAGGTGGGCATTTTGACCGCCTACTTTTCTTCGCTTTGGGCATTTTTGGGCCTAATATGCGCCTGCTGATCACCCGCATGGCTTTTCTGCACACACATATTGGCTATCCAGCCATCGATGGACTTGGCTATCCAGCCATCAATGGACTTGGCTATCCAGCCATCACTGGACTTGGCTATGCAGCCATCCATGCCATAATTTGGCTATCCAGCCATCAGTGAAGTTGTCTTTCCCGTTTACTTGGCAATCTGACTGCTGCATAGTCTTGAAGTTAGTATATTTCGTCTGTAAGCGTATATATGTTTTAAGTTTCAAACACCCAGCTTCTCTATTTTGTGAAAAAGCACGCGAGAGAAAACAGAAAAGGAGATGTAATTCTGAAATGGTGAAAAATCAACAGGATTCACGGCTTACCACTCAATAGATGTTTACTTTTGAAATTCAATAGAAATAAATAGACGTCAATTAAATTCAAAGAAAAGATCAATAGGAATTTGACCTAAAATCAATGCAAAAATCAATCGGAATTTGAACCAAATTCAAAGCAAAAATCAATAGGAATTTGACCTAAATTCAAAGCCAAAATCAATAGGAATTTAACTTAAATTCAAAGAAAAAATCAATAGGAATTTTGTTAAAAATCAATAGAAACACCAATAAAAAATCAATAGAAAAGTGCCTCAAAAATCAATAGAAATCTATATACCAAAATGACATTTCTATTGATTTTAACTTGGAAAATGCTGTTTTCAATCGCTACTGATTTTTCCTTCTTTTTCAATAGATCTATTGAAAAAAATTGCTCGGCGAGAGTTTGGGATGTCAAAAGCGCTGCGAAACCTCGCCAGCGCGATCATGTTGTCCCTGAGGGTGGGAACCTGGGACACCAAGGTTTCCACACCCTTTTCCCATGTATCATGGGCAACCGAGTAGATATAGTCGTCCAGGGTGACCAACTTGTGCTTGGTGATAAAGTCCTGCGCCCATTCTTGCTGGATGTTAGCCACCTTGAAGCATCCTTGGAGGCCGCGGTCATCCGCCAGCACATCGACTCGGCTCATGGCGCGCGCTGGTGGGCTGGCACACTACTAGCTTGGGTCCAAAACTCCAAAGCATAGAGTTCGCACAGGCACAACAGACGGCTGCGCCTTCTCGAGACCGACAGGGGGTTGCCTGTCCACCTATTACAGCCTGAGGGCCTATTAGGCGTGACAAAAACAAACCACACTGACATGAAAAACAAAGTGAAACTGCCTGCAGCTCGCGCCCTTTTTGGCACACACAAATTATGTATAGTACGGGCCCGCAGCTATTCAGGACTCAGGAGGACCAGCCGCAGTGCTCCGCCAGACTCAGGTAGAGCCCCCGTGGCATACGGCTGAGACATCGCTTGCAGATGCACTCAAGCCCCCCACGCACGAAGCCCACGCCCCGTCGGGCAGGATCCTGGTCAAACGGCTTGTCTCGGCAATACGGGATCAGCCGGTCACTCTCTGATGTGTCGCTCACCAGGTGCGTCTTGGTGCCCTGGCGAAACCACTTGATTTCAGCTGCTGCTGTAGGGTCCGGCAAAATGCCCACTATAGGTCATCCGCATCAGCGGAGATGTCAGAAGCCGAACTGCTGTCATCGCCTGAGGCACCTGATGCCGCCTCTGGCTCACCTGCCGGCTCCTCCAGGGTAGCTGCCTGGTCGTCCGGCTGCTCCTCCCCTGGCTGCTCAGGCGCCGGGGCCGCCGCATCCGTGATAGCAGCGGACAGGTCTGGCTCGGCTGCTGACCAAGGAGTCTGCCGGTGCAACGCCTGCAAGTCAGGCCAACGCCAGGAGTCAACAGGCAGCAGGCCCTCGGCATTGAGGGACACATGCTGCCGTTGCAACTTCCACAGCTCCAGGAAGCGCTCCATGAGGCGCACCTTGACCAGCGCTGAGCGCAGCACCTTATGGCCCCCGTAGTGGCGGCCCATGGTCATGGCAGCCTTGGGTCTCGGTGCAGTGAGGCCACCTCCCTGTGGGACCTCAGTCCAGTTGCCCACCGCTTGCGCATCCACATCGGAAATCTCCAGCACATTACCCAGCGTAGGCCGCCCCTTTCGCTGAGTGGGTATCCAAACCACACTGCATGAGGGCACCCCGGAAGATTTCCAGGAAGCGTCCCCTGGACATCGGCTTGCCAAGGACCAGCGGGGTAGTCTCTGTGACTTCCCAGAGGTTGTCCGCAGCCAGCTGCAGTGCTGGTACCAGGAAACCCGCCGTGGCCAGCACTTCATGCCGGTAAAAATCCTCGAGGATGCGGCCAACACCATGGCCTTCCCAGCACAATTCTGGCAGAGCCCATCCATACGCGGGCCTGGCTCCTTTCTTCCGAGCTTTGCCTTGCTGGCAGTGGAATTCAATCCACTTGGTGTGGCCAGCCACGAAGCTCGAGCGCTGCAGGTGTTCCCAGCGCACACAAGAGATCGCCGCCATCACCACCCAGGCCAACAGGAGCTTATGGTTGCCCTTGGCACGGCCGAAGAGGCAAACCAAGTTGATCAGCTCCCAGGGCTGAAGCTCCGGGGCCTGCCGCGCTGTGTGGGTCACAGCATGGAAGCGGTAAGGGGCCACCATGGGGTGCGACAGGTCCAGGGCCGCACCAGCCTGGTCTGCAAACCACTTCAAAGCTGCATGCATCGACGAAGCCGCTGTGGGCCCCCCCTGACTGACACAGTGCAGGTAAGTGGCCACAACTGGAACGGCTTCGGGGCGTTAGGCGCCCACTGCCTCTCCTCACAGAACTTCACCCACCTCTTGAAGCTGCTAATCAAAGCGCCAAGCCTCTGGGTCGACAATCTCTGGGCCCCGTGGAGCACAGTCTCACGGACCTTTGTGCGACCCAGCGGGTCAGCCAGGAGGGCAGTATCGATGCCCAGCTCCTGCAAGTCCAAAACGTAGTCGACCAGCAGGTGGAAAAGGAGGTCCAACTTAGTCTGCTTGGCGACATCCGCTTTGGTGCTGGCCGGTGCAGGACCAGGCCCAGACACCACAGTGGATCCGGCCGAGCCTGTCCCAAGGCCCACCAGGGGCTTCATTCCGCGGCTGCTAACTGCCGCTTCACGGCTTCCACAACGCTCAGCAGCACCCGAGGGGGCGACTACGAGCTCAACTGCGTGCTTCTTTGTCTTACGGGCCAGCCCATGAACCCGAGCATAAGTGCACGCCACATCCATGCTAAGGTCAGCATCCACACGTGTCCCCATCACGGCGTGCAAGGCGTCCATGAACAGGTCCACATTGGGATACAACCCTACTACGTCTGCCGCCGTCTCCACTCCTTCAGCGCCCAGGCGTGCAAGGAGGGGGAGGGGGAGATCCAGCAGGATGTCCACCACCTCAGGCGCCATACCGGCCGTCACCTCTTTGGCCGTGCGCGGCGGCACGGCGGGTGATGGCGGCCGCGTCCGGCTCGCCATTGGCCGAGAGGACCTCCCGGAGGGGGATCCGGAGCGGGGGGTCAATGGTCTGGAAGACTCCCGCTGCATCATGGAACCCGGAGATCTCGACGATCTCCTCTTCCTGCGGCGTCGCCGCTTCATACGCCGCTCGGGCGCTTCGCCAGGACTTTCCGGCACGCTCACAGGCGTGGCAGATCGCCTCCGCGGCATCGCAAACAGTGCAGATAGCCGTCGCAGGCCGCTGGCAAGCTTCGCACCAGCAGTGCGTCCACACGCCGCACCTATCGCAAGGCAGGGCTCCCAGGCCTCTGTCCTCGCGATGGGCAGCCGCGGTCGCCACCGCAAAGGCCGCGCGCAGCTCGAAGGTCTCCAGCCGCTGCTCGCGCGTGACCTCCCTATGATTGAACCCCGGATGGGTGGTGAGCCACAGCTTCGCCGCACCCTTCCAGGCAGTCCAATCAATAGGCCGAAGTGCCATGGACCCACGAAGGCGAAAAACCAAAAAGTGGGTCCTTGAGCCAAAATTGGCATCAAGGCCCAAAAGGTATCAACACTTTCACACCTCATAAAGCCCCTGCCCAACCAACCTACATTTATGAAGGGGTAAGAAGTTTCTTCTGATCTTTGTGACGATAATGGTCCCACATCGGAGCCCAACAAATACAAGTCGACGAGAACAATCTCATCCACATCCTTCCGCAACCTTTCCAAGCAATGCCTTTCCTTCCGACTCCCTTCTATTCCAGTCTTTCCCAAAGCATCGTAAATGACAGAAATTGCTTCTAATCCTTGCGACCATAATGGTCCCACATCGGAACCCAACTACTGGCAGAAGTTGCTTCTAATCCTTGTGACCATCAAGCAATGCCTTTTCCTCTGACCCCCTTCGATTCCAGTCTCTCCATCGCCTCCCCAAATGCACCTCCGAGGACGGACCATCAAGCAATGCCTTTTCCTCATAATGGTCCCACATCGGAGTCCAATAAATACAAGTAGATGGCTACAGTCTCGTCAACATCCTATACTGACAGAAGTTCTTCAGGAGTTCCTCAAGCAATGCCTTTTCCTCGGACTCCCTTCTTTTCCACTCTCTCCCAGCATCCTATACTGACAGAAGTTCCTTCTGATCTTTGCGACCATAATGGTCCCACATCGGAGCCCAACAAATACAAGTCGACGAGAACAATCTCATCCACATCCTTCCGCAACCTTTCCAAGCAATGCCTTTCCTTCCGACTCCCTTCTATTCCAGTCTTTCCCAAAGCATCGTAAATGACAGAAATTGCTTCTAATCCTTGCGACCATAATGGTCCCACATCGGAACCCAACTACTGGCAGAAGTTGCTTCTAATCCTTGTGACCATCAAGCAATGCCTTTTCCTCTGACCCCCTTCGATTCCAGTCTCTCCATCGCCTCCCCAAATGCACCTCCGAGGACGGACCATCAAGCAATGCCTTTTCCTCATAATGGTCCCACATCGGAGTCCAATAAATACAAGTAGATGGCTACAGTCTCGTCAACATCCTATACTGACAGAAGTTCTTCAGGAGTTCCTCAAGCAATGCCTTTTCCTCGGACTCCCTTCTTTTCCACTCTCTCCCAGCATCCTATACTGACAGAAGTTCCTTCTGATCTTTGCGACCATAATGGTCCCACATCGGAGCCCAACAAATACAAGTCGACGAGAACAATCTCATCCACATCCTTCCGCAACCTTTCCAAGCAATGCCTTTCCTTCCGACTCCCTTCTATTCCAGTCTTTCCCAAAGCATCGTATACTGACAGAAATTGCTTCTAATCCTTGCGACCATATGGCCCCACATCGGACACAACTATCCTTGTGACCATCAAGCAATGCCTTGTCCTCTGACTTCCTTCGGTTCCAGTCTCTCTATCGCCTGCCCAAATGCACCTCCGAGGACGGACCATCAAGCAATGCCTTTTCCTCATAATGGTCCCACATCGGAGCCCGACAAATACAAGTCGACAAGAACAAGCCCAACTACTGACAGAAGCTGCTTAAGCACTCCCTTCGATTCCAGTGTGTCTAACGCCTCCCCAAATGCACCTCCGACGACAAACCATTTTCCTCGATTTTCCCAACGTTTCACTCCAGTTTTCCATGGTTTTACTTGATTTTTTCCATGGTTTTACTGGATTCTTCCATAGTTTTATTCAATTTTTCCATGGTTTTACTTGATTTTCCTATGTTTTTGCTTCTAGGGTTTTACTCGGCTTTTCCATGGTTTTACTCCATTTTCCAATAGTTTCCATGGTTTACTCAATTTTCGGATGGTTTTTGGTCGATTTTTCCACGGTTTTACTCGACTCCTCCATAATTTAACTCTTCCATTCCAGTCTCCCCAAGTGCACCTCGGAGGACAGACCAGGGGGGACTGGTACATAACCTTCAAAAACGTTCCAACTGCCATGCCTACACTGCACCTAATTCCGTGATTTTGCGTTGTCCTCGCCCGCTCTACCTCCAGACCCCCTATAACTCACTTTGTTCGCAAAAGGAACTTCGCCTAGCATAGCGGGTGGCTTTCGTGATTAGATAGACAGATTAAATAGACATATCAAATAGAGAGATTAAATAGATAGACTAAAATAGATTGATTAGTTAGGTAGATTAGATGGATAGATTAGATGGATAGATTAGATGGATAGATTAGATAGATAGATTAATAGACAGGTGAGATAGATTATATTAGATGGATTAGATTACATAGATTTGATAGATTTGGTAGATTAAATAGATTAGATAGATTTGATAGGTTGGATAGGTTAGATATATAGATTAGATAGGTAAGATAAAACAAGATAAAAACAAGATAAAATCAGATAAGATTAGATTAGGTTATATTGGTTGATAGATAGGTAAAGCATGGTAAAGCATGGTAAAGCATGGTAAAGCATGGTAAAGCATGGTAAAGCCACAAAAGCCACACACCCACACGAGCCACAGAAGCCACAGAAGCCACAAAAGCCACAAAGCCAGGCTGGAAAACCAAAACAAAAACACAAAATCCCGAAAAAAAAAACTCCAATAAAATGCGTCTAGATGATTACAGAACTCAGAAACCACAAACCGAACCGATGATGAACACTGGAATGGATTTGGAATGGACCGTCTGCAGTTCAGGGTCAACACGACCGGGTATTTGGAAAATTCACATGGCACAGCAAGTACACCCAAGCCCAGGCCATACCTGGACGCGTGAGTCGCCATGTGCATTGGGGATAAGGTGTTTGCTTAACCTGAAGGGCTGAGATTTCCTCAGCATCTGAGCAACTGCCCGAGCCATCCGTGGAACTGTCAGGTGTGTCCTGGAGCAACTGCACAGCTACCCGTTGCAAAGCTCAACTTGAAGCCTTTTCGGCCCCAGGGCCCCGAGTAGGCTCTGATGGCTTCACTTCTTATCATGGGTCACAAATTTGGGTCCAAAGTTAAAAATTAGTGGATTTCAGGGGCCCCTTCAAAGGCCTTCCGCCCCAGAATGGGGAAACAGGGATTGTAAGACAGTTTTGGTTGATTGTTGGTTGTTATGTTTTTACGTTGGCTATAAACATGTGGTTGTTTCATTTTTTGTGAAGGTGATTTTAGGACATTTTTGGTAAACATGTTTCATCCTTACCTTGTTGGTTATTTTAGGGTATATCATTGATTGGGTTTGGTTTTGTCGGGGCCGTTGTGATTTTATGGTGTCTTGGGTGAGTGATTACTTGATAATAAATATATTTTGAGAAGATGTATGCTATAATGAACTAATCATCATCATCATCATCATCACCATCATCATCATCATCATCATTTAGTTTTCTTACTTCATCATATTCCGCTGCAACGCTTTTGTCTTCAACGACGACATCACCAATCAGTGCGCCTTCCAGTGGAGTGGGAGGGAAAGGTGATTGACGGAAGTGTCAGGTTAAGCAGAGATTTCCCTTGTTGATTTGTTTGAACGAATGCCAGACTTGACAGACACCTAGCATTGCTGGCCCAAGCATTTTGAACTCTCACGTTCATCCAATTCGCACGGTGCTTCTCACGATGTCGCCGGAGAAGATGATTGAAGCCACTGGTGAGCAACCAAGTGAGGGTGCTTATCCAGACAGTTCCCCCATTGATGCTGTCCTGACTGCCACACAGTTGGGTGGAGAAGATGTGGTTGAAAGTTCATCGGACGGTCAAAGCACAGGTTCAGAGAGTGAAGCAGGGGAAGATGAGATTGACACCAAGTCGAACAAGTCCCGTGATGGAGGTGATGACACGACTGGTGGAGATGGAAGCCCGAAAGACCCTGACGCCTCGTCTTCGGTGGCTTTGACTTATGGAGTCCTTCACTGACCCCGATGAGCTCTTCTTGGAGGAGGTGAAGATGGCACAGAAGAACGGCACATTGGATACTCTGAGCCTTCAGTACTTGAGGAACTTGAGAACGAATTGTGACCGTCGCGCCTCTTACTTTCACAAGATGGGTGTTGAGGTGGGCTATGCGCTTCGCAAAGTTGAGAGGTTTGAGAAGAATGAAGCCAAAAAGGCACAGGATGCGTTGGTAAAGTCGGAGGCAATGCCTTCGGAGCCAACACTCATCACCATCAATGCGGTTTGGAACAACAAGAACTACCCAGTGAAGATTGTTGATACATCCAGAAGGCTTTGAGAGACCTGTTGTATGCCCTCTACCCCGGCGTCTTCACAAAGAAAATGTTGAAGCGCCTTCGCTGGATGAGTGGTGACAGTGATTTGTCGGAGCGACCACGCAGAGAACTGGGAAATGGAAAGACATGCAACACTGGCTGGAAACTTCAAGACGGAGCATCGGTCAAGTTGATGGAGCGTGGTTTGGGAGGTGCAGGTGCGTCCAAACGTTCCCGTTCGTCAGGAGTGGATGTCAAGTCCAAGGAGATTGCGATGAAGGAGGTTGCCAACGAGATCGACCAAGCCTGCCTTCGCTTCAATGCTATGGGTTTTTCCACGGACAGTATCAAACAGATTGTGGAGATGGGCTTGAAGATGAAGAACGCCACGAGCACTAGCACCAATCCAGATGATGCTTTGTTCAATGTAGTCAGCCAGTTGTCTGACAATGTGATTATGAAGCTTCAGGCACACGTCTGTGGCATCTTCCACCAAGCCCTACGAGCGAGTGAAAAAGGCATCGGAGATTATCTTTGACGAAATCACGCGTCCCTTGGAGGAGATTGATTGGCAGTGTTGCAAGGCAAAGGAGTTTCTTGTTGATTATGTCGCAGTATGGTGATGCTTCGGGCAGTTTGTCTTGGATGATGTTTGGTGAAACCTTGACGAACGCCTTGCGCAATCGTCAGATGAAACCACCTCCTGCCAAGGCGGATGAGACGGCTAAGGAGTGAGAGCATCCAATCCGACCGCTGTAAAGGACTGAAGGGGAAATATCCATCATCCGCACCAGAAATTCCAATTGTCAGGCTTGGAAATCGTCCCATTTCCTTTCATTCCCCACCTGCCAGGTGAGGGTTGTTAGATTTTATCACAGTTGTTCTTCTCCTTCTCTTCCTCCTTCTCCTCCTTCTCCTCCACTACCTCTGCATCCACTTCCATGTCCACTTCCGCCACTTTCATGTCCACTTCCGCCTTGCCAACTCTTCGCCAATCTCTTCGCCACCTCCTGCGCGCAGTGGGCACTCCTGGACCTCAACTGCCAGGTTCCGAGCGCAGTGGGCACCGCTGGACCTCAGCCAGGGACCTGCCGAGCCCAGTGGGCACCGCTGGACCTCAACGGCCAGATAGAATGCCAGAAGATATGCCAGATAGAACGCCAGATAGAATGTCAGATAGAATGCCAGAAGATATGCCAGATAAAATGCCAAAAGATATGCCAGATAGAATGCCAGAAGATATGCCAGATAGAATGCCAGAACATTTGCCAGAAGATATGCCAGGTAGAATGCCAGAAGGTATGCCAGATAAAGTGCCAGAATGTTTGCCAGATAGAACGCCAGAAGATTTGCCAGATAGAATGTCCGAAGATTTGCCAGAAGATATGCCAGATAGAGTGCCAGAACATATGCCAGAAGATATGCCAGGTAGAATGCCAGAAGATATGCCAGATAGAATGCCAGATCGAATGCCAGAAGATATGTTAGATAGAATGCCAGAAGATTTGCCAGTAGCAAAATGATAAATGTCATGGTGGCGATCACTCGAAGTAAAGTATTTTTTAGTATTGTTTCCATTCTTTGCGGTGTCCATTTCCAACTTCAACCGTCAAGACCGGAAATCCCTACCATTCAGTCCAGAAATTCCAACCATCCAATGGGAAAATCTCAACCATTCAGTTTTGAAATACTCATCATCATGTCAAGAAATTCAACTCTTTCAGTCGGTGGCTGGACGCTTTGCCATTGAAACCGTGTCGGTCAATGGAGACAGAGGGAAGAGGGAGAAACGGGGGGAACATCCACGTCGGACAACACCACGTCGGTGAAAACAAATGACGGCTTCAACCGTGTGAGTTTGAATAGACATTGCCAACTCCACTTCATCTACTTGTTTTCTTCGCAGTGAGTTCTTTCTTGTTTTCAGTTTTCAGCATTGTGGATGTTTCATTTCTGTTGCTCAACCCTGCCGTGCGGAGGTGCAACATTTCAACATTCCGTTTCGGGCGCTCAATCGGGGGCCATGGTCTTCTGCTGGGTTGGGCCCGTTGGGCCCGTCGGGCCCGTCGGGCCCGTCAGGCGGGGCCCGTCGGACCCGTTGGGGCCCGACGGGCCCATTGGGCGACGACAATTTGGGGCAGTCGGGCAGTCCTGCTGTATGAGGTTCTTGGAAGGGGATCTTGTAGGGATCCTGTCGAGATCCTCGAAGATTCCTGATTTTGTAGAAGTCCTTGCGAGGAGATCTTGTGGATATCCTAGTGAAATCCTTCGTTGTAGAGGTGTTTGTGCGGAGATCTTGCGCACATCCTGCTGGAATCCTCTAAAAGATATTTGTGCGAAGATCTAGAAGGTGCTTGTATGAAAGTTTGCAAGGGAAGCCTTCAAGAGGTTCTTGTACAAAGATCTTGTCAGATCCCCTCTATCAGGTCCTTCTTTGACGACTGTATGAAATTCTCATTGAGGTCCTGGCTTGAGGTCCTGGAGTTTTTGTTCACAGATATTTTCCTCAACGCTGTTAGGGCCTTTTTGCCAAGCTATGATTTCAAGGGTTTCACCTTGCGACGGTTTGGTGTGGGTCAAAGAACATGCGCCATTTGGCCCACTAGCACAACACATCATGTTTCCCATGGGGAGCAGGACATCTAAAAATGTTTGACCCATACCATCCCATATTCATTTGGGCAGGGCTGGAAAGCTTTAGCTAATCCCTTTTCATGGGCTGATTTTTACAGATGGATAATGATAATCCTCGATGTCTAGGGTAATATAGGAATACTGCTCACTTGCTGGTTCCGGCAGCGCTGACGCGGATATGTGAGATAAAGCCGTCACAAAAGGATGAAGCGAAGCACGGGATTTTTTTTGTGGCCGCTGTCTAGGAAAGAATCGCAGAATCTGCAAACGGCACCGCTTGACAAATCATACCCCGAGTGGATCCGAAGGATTTTTTTCACCGGTTGGTCGTCAACAGCTGGTGCCGAACTAATCAACATCTGGTGGAATAATATCTGTAACCAAATGAAGAACAGAAAGCATGTGCATTAGTTTTATTTAGCCATGGATGACTGAAGCAGGAAAGCGACGAAAATTGGAAACATGATCCCAATGGCGTGCTGGGATCATACATTTTTTCATCTGCAACCAGATGTAATTAGGTATAAGATATACATAAAGAACAATCACTCAATAAATAAATATTTATGTGTGTATTCGCATTAGAAAGATACAAGATGCATACATTTATGTATATATATATACATATGTTGAAATACGGCTAATGCCTGTGTTTAGCCTGGCAGGGCAACGGCGATGGGCAACGAAGCGTCATCATCATCACCATCATCATCATCATCATTATCATCATCATCCCTTGTTGATCTTTCCAGCCGAAAGCAAAAGCAAACGAGAGTGGGATTTTTTATATTCCTAATACCTGTGGTGATCTTCCCACTTGAATCTAAAAGTTCAAGCAGGGTGGGCAATTATGTTTCTAAGGGAGCTTTTATTCCAAATACCTATCGGTGATCTTCCCAATTGAATGTAAAATTCACAGGCGGGGAACTTATATGCCAAATAATTACCCTTGTTGATTTGCCTGCTTGAATGTAAAGTTGAACAGAGATGTGATTCTAAATTCCTAATACCTTTGTTGATTTTCCCCATTGAATATTAAGTTAGCCTAGGGTGGGAATCTATATTCCCAGTACCGTTGTTGATCTTCCCAATTGAATGTAAAGTGTACCGCCAGCACCAGAAGGGATGATGGGTTCATTCAGCGCCACGGCCTCTCGAGCCCGTCGAGCCCGTCGAGCCCGTTGGGCCCGTTGGGCCCGTCGGGCCCGTTGAGCCCGTGAAGCAGGCCCGTTGGGCCCGTTGGGCCCGTCGGGCCCGTCGGGCCCGTTGAGCCCGAACCTAGGAAAGGACTATTCTCCAATCGGGACAGGGTTCAAGAGAAATTTTGATGAGGTGATGTTGCCAAACAGTCTTCAAAGCCTGAAACCTTCAGTGAGAACTTCAATTAGAGACTGACACGAATGACACTGCCTAACAGTCTTCAAAACCTAAACGTCAGAATGACAAACACTGACATTCAAAATATATAAGCAATACACATCTACATACACATTCACATACTATGACATACGCATACACATTAACATACACATTTACATTCACATTTTGTATCATCCTGTTTGTCAGAAGGGAGGGCTTCATTCTCAACATCGTTTCGCACTGGTGGTTAGTGGTTTGGAGGATGGTGGAGGGTCGGTTGGGATATATATATGTATATATTTGTATATATGCATTTATTTTTCAAATATTATAGAAGGGGGTGTCAGGGTATTAACCACGCGTGATCAATTTCATGATGTACAGGGTGGAGGATGTATAGGGCTGTAAAGTTCTTAAAGGTTCACCCAGCACTGAGCTGAAAAGCTCTTAAAAACCATAGGGTTGAAAGAAACCCACAATCCCAAAAAAAAACAGTGGGTCGACCGACGTGTGATTGATACGTTGGTTTGGCTCAAGACTTCTTGGCCTCAGGAAAAAGGGCTGGGACGTGTGGCTGCTGCCCGCGGGTGCCTAGCGCGGTAACCCTGCTGGCGAGGGCATAGCAGCTCGATGGAGACACCGTCCTCGGAGGGCAGAGTTCATGGACTACCTGTAGTGCCAGGATCCCCTGAGGGGGGAGGTGGACTGGAGGTGGTATCTGCTGCTGGAGGAGGTGGGCCACTACATCGTGGACAAGTACACCAGGGTGGAGGATCTAACTTAGAGATGGTTCCTGCTGGACAGGTTAAGGCGTACGCGCCTACAACTTCAACGGTTGTGGAAGAAGTGAATCCCTTCTGGAGTGACAAGGTGGAGGACGAAGTGGCTCTGAGAACTGTCAGACCCTCTTTTCTGCCCGTGGAGGGTGGCGATGAGCTAGTAAGTCCGCTTCGGGGTGCTGGGTCTGATGGAAAGGGTAGGCCGGAAAGCATCTGTAGAAAAATGCTCCAGATGATGATCCTGGAGAATCAACGTCTTCGGCAAGAACGCGAGATGTTGAGGGGTCATGGAGAAGGACTTCAGGGGCAACAAGCTAGTGTCAAGGATTTAGTTAGCCTGTTTGAAGGTGAATCCAAAACTTCGGAATCGTCAGTAACGGACACGGCAATTTCCTGGATGCGGAACCGTCAACGGGGGAGACTATCTGGCAGCCCGTGGATTACCCTCTGTCCAAAGTCATCAACGGGAGTTCATCTCAAGCATGGTGGACTATGCTACTCGAACTTCGTCCAGTGGATTTGGTCTACAAGAGGTAGGCGTAGGGTATCATCATGGTCTGACGGAGGTGGTGACCGGGGAGATGATGGCTGGTGGAGGGGGAAACGATTCAAGTAATAAAAAAGGTGGTGTCTCTCAAGGAGTACATCCAATTGGTCCTAGCGGTGGCGAAATTCAGTGTGGAGCTGGACTATCAGCTGGCGATGGATCTTTGTGCAGCGGTGGTGGAATCCCGCAGTTTGGTGCTGGACTGCCCGCTGGTTCAAG